TTAATGCCAAAATTACTTTCACCTACATACTTATCACCTGGATGCACCATATGCCTGATCTATTTTCTGGTATTCCATTCTACACCATTATCATCACATGGAAGAATTGTTGTTGTTTTTTTTTTGTAGGAAATAATTGGTTCTTTACTAGACAAAGAGAGGATATAAATAGAATGTTATTTGTATATTTTATTGTTTGCTGCTCACCTCGGATGTAACATATATATTGATGTATTATTGACATACAAGTTTGCTATTAGTGCTATATTTACTTTAGGGAATGAACTTCTGTTGCTTGAAAGTGTTATATCATGAGCAAAATCTACAGACTTATGTTATTCAGCTGATCATTTTTTTAGATGTCTATACTGTTATACAGAAAATGATTTTAGGATGTCACCTTGGGGTGGCAGATTGCCCTTCTTAGATTTCAGGAGCACCTTTTTAGACAATATTCAGAATAATACTTCTTCTTGTTACCCCTTTCAGACTTTTGTAGATTATGTATTTGTTTCCTTAGTTTCAGGCATTTATAACATTTTTCAGGAGGTCATTACTTTCTTCCAGAAGTTAATTATTTTGTTCCCCTATGAAGGTGATCTGTGGCCACATTAGACATTGGTTGCCCTTGATAGAAGTTAATTTATTGCCCCTGTCCCGGTTCTTTGTGTTCATTTCAAACATTATTAAAAATTTCAAATTCTGACTTAAGGTATATTAAACAAGAGATTGCAGTGTTTATAGATAATTTCTACAGTAATTATATGATATACATCTAATGATATAAAGAAGATTTTGTATGTTTGATCTTCAGTTATTATAATGAGAAGTTATCAAACATATTATATTGTTTGCTCTCTACATCAGACCTCATACCTTTCATTGAGTGCCAGTTATTTTCTGTTACATACCACAGCCTGAACAAACATGTGAGACTACAAACACACAAATCCTACTATATATCCTTGTAGAAGTATGTTTTCTTAGGAATAAATTTGCTGGAAATATATATCAAAAAGTGGTGAAAAATAAAAAAATTGAAAAATGTCTGACATGTACGTTGACATGATGTCAAAGCAGCTGGATCGTTCCAGGGACAAATATCTTCTACGAAATCAACACTTTAATATTCCGTTTATCAAAATTAATCGGAGTAAAAGTAATGAACGGAACAAGAAGAGAGGATCCCTTGGTGTTACACAGCTAAATATTCCGGTGATAAAGGTTACCCGCAGCAAGTCTCAGGTAAAAAATACATTGATATAGAGAATGACAAAGCTGTATTAAATGACATTGATGATATTGAAAGTAAAATTTTGTCATTATTAACAAGGATAATATTGATTCAATGTAATTTACATCCTGGTCAGTTATATGGTATTGCTGATGATGCAATATTGTTAAATATTACACTGTATTTGATTTACAACATGAAGGTTTTGCTGCTGATGTAATATCATTGTAAAATAAAACATGCTGTTGTTATCGCATCTTGGCAGAAAAATGTTAATAACAATCATTAGAGCTTAAAATAATGTTACAGTTTAGACAATACAATAGACATGTTCTGTCAATAAACTCTGAACTCTTATAAAGAATGGTTGGCTGATGAAAATAGCTGGGCAATACCAGACAGTTTATTGCAAAATTCTAATATTTTTTTATATTGAAATACTATAATCAAACTTAAAACAGAAAGCTTCACTGTCAATGTAGTTTCTTGCCAAAATCCATTGCAAAGATGTTTTAAGGTAAATGTAGACTGTCTTATCAAAATAAGTTTTGCAGTGTATTTTTCAAGTCCAACGTGAATTAAATGTTTCAAATCCTGAAGTGGATCCTGGAAATGATCAACCTTTGCCACCTATATATAGCCAGGTCACCCCTCAAATTAAGCTCTTTACTGTTGGCTAACTAACCTTAGGTTTTCATCTTACTGGTGTAATACAACCACAAGTGCCCCTCCATGCTGAGATGTCAGGGGTAGAACCATTTATGTTCCTTTATCTTAGAAATTATGTCAGTGGTTCTATTCAGGTGGCCATTTGTGCCTGAAATAATGCATTGGAGGGGCACCTGAGATCTTCCTCATAATCCAGTAAAGCATATGATCTTATCAGTCACAGACAATGCAACTTAAAATACAACCAATAATATCCTCGAGATTGATAATGGACAGTAACAAAAGTGGAAGCTAAACCATCAAGACATTGAGAAGGTCTAAGGATTAAGATCTTGCAATAAATGTAACAATAAAGCAATTGATTATCTACAGAATAAGTTTCCTGTCAGGGATATTTGATGGTAATGTCACTAGTTCAATACCTCTATGTTACATTGTTCTCTCAGTGCCTGATGGCAGAATCATTGATCTGAATAGATCAGTAAAGTTGACAAACTCAATGCCAGGCTAGCCTACTGTGCAGTCTATTGTTTTAGTGTTCCTTAATTTTTAAATGGACTTTCAGATTAAAGAATTTCTAGGGAAACATACATTACATAAATTTAGCAAGTTGAGAGTTTGAATTGCTATTTGGGCTGTACAATCATAGAAATCTATCCTTTGTTTACTCGATATCTTGGGTCTTGATTTTCATGGTTTTATTCTGGCATGTTTGTGTAAACTTCTCAATAAGGTTTATTGAAGTGTAATGGTTCACCGAGGCAGTGTTTACCTATTCAGAAAGAACTTTTTTGTATTGTATAATGTTACATGGTACACTGGTACAAGTGCACGGTATATGATATTGTTTTTGTTAGATTTGGAGAACTGATATTTGTTTTATATCTTATAACATACAAAGTGTTAGAGTGTCATTTGACCATTGTGAACTTTGACCTTTTCTTCAGATGATGTCAAAAATATGAGATATTTACATATTAATAAATAATTGTTTATGTTTGGTTATGATTAAGTTTGATCATTTTTGTATCACAGTAAGTTAGCTTTTTTGTTGTTTGATAATAGCAGAGATGTGACACTTGTTGCTGTAAAGCCACAGTAGTAAATTGTACTTTAGACTTAGTCAATGGAGGCATAAATGGCCTCCATTGACTAAGTGGTTATGATTCTATTGGACCATTTCTGCTGTGGGTTCTAATCCCATTGGGGAGTTTAGTCCATCTTGCTTACTAAAGGCAATAGACTTTGTGCAGAGGGGTACCAGAAGTTACCTTCCACCTGTAAAGCTGAATAGTTACTTTATAGCCCTTAATGTGTCAGCATGACTTAGAACCTCATAAAAAAAGCACAAACCCAAAAACATATAGTAAATTATTTGAATGTCATAATATTTTCTCTGTTTATTGGCACATAGAGAGATATAAGTCAGTAATTATTCTGCTAATCTAGACATATTACTGTATTTATTTGTACATCTATCTCCACTAAATAACATTAGAACATAAAACTTTCTTCTCTAAACTACAGAATTGTTCAATGATGTACCCACATATCTTGATTAATGTGCATATGGGTTTTGTAAATAAACACTTCAGGGACAGCAAATGTCAAAGTTTAAAAGCTTTGCCATACTTTATTTAGGCATAAAACAAACTCACATGTCTAAAAGTGGACTGGCTAAGTGGTAGTGAAATAAGACACTGGCATTGTCTGCAATATAAAAATATTTCTGGTCTGCCATCACCTGATTTAGATGATGTACAATGTTTGATTAGACACAATTCTTTTCAGTACGATTTAACAACATGTACTATTTTCTAGGGCATTGTTGTTTTACTACAATAGATACAGCAACATAATATCTGTAGGAAATAGTCATTAATTGTACTATCCATTTTTCTCCGAATTACTTCATCTGTCTTTTAATTTTGGAAGGCAATAAAAAATCACCTTAATTTTGTTGCTTTTTCTTGCATAATGCGGCAGATTGACAATGTCCATAGATCTGAAAAATCAGGACAAAAATTTTTTAAAAATATATCCTCTTTTACCTCAGCCCTTTCTCTTCCAACCCCAAAATAACCTCTCCTATCTAACACTTTCCAACCCCACATTGGTTTTGTAAATAAACACTTTAGCAACAGCAAATGTCAAAGTTTAAAAGCTTCGCCATACTTCATTTAGGAATAAAACGAACTCACTTGTCTAAAAGTGGACTCACTTAGTGATAGCTTAACTACACTACCCTCCCATCTAGCCCTTTCCAATCCCACACTACCCCTCCCTATATCCCCATTTAAATGCTAAACTACCCTCCGTACAAGTACAACAACCTCTGTCTGTTTAACATTGACACTTTCCTAAAAAAAAAATTCATTGAAGTTCATATTATTGCAATGCAACTCAAATCTTGATTAATTTAAACTATAATTATGATGTATAAACATTGAAATTTAAAGCCACTTTTTAGCATTAAAGTACTAATATGTTACGCTACAAACCACTTTCAAACAATTTCTAAGGGATGAGTTAATTACTTTACATTAAACTAGAAGATCAGTAATTTATGTGATCCACTTTATACATAATTATGCTCATTTTTTTTTTTTGCAAGGTCAATTGACATTGAACTCTTAAACTTTACAACAACAAAGTTAGCCTTGAACTTTGACCTGGCCTTAAACTGTAAAACTGGGTGGGCACAGCTGCTGGTCATTATTTTGCTCTTTTGACCCTTTATTTTCTTGTATAAACTGTAAGGTTGAAGTGACCCCAGGCAACAATGCATGCTATAAATAAACTGTTTACATTAAACTTTTCAATTAAAAAACAGATGTATTTTAAAGAGTTGAGATATGCTCATTATTACATTGTCTATTTTAGTTATCTTATGGTAGTAATGTTTGTTCTATAACGGTAAGATAATAGGCCAGTCTAGTAGATAAAGGAGGGAGTTGTTTACAAATATTGAGTGACTCACTTGAACTAGTGAACTAAATCTAGAGCGTCAACCCCTCCACCTTATGCTTGTTTTCAGGGTCATGAAAGCACATGTAGTACTGTGTAGGAACAGTGTAGAGTGTTGAGTTATATAATTAACGATCAGTTTTCCTCTTCAGTTTGTATTGGAGTTTTAATAATGGATAAGTTACATGAGCTGTATGTGGTTGGCATGAAAAAGTTGTAGTTATAGAAATATTATTGCTGTTATTTTAATTGGTGAACAAGAAAAAATCTGTTTGTTTCATTGTAACAGAGTGATATCGAAATATATATTCAGAACAGAAGAGGCGTATTTTATTAAACGTTTGGAAGGATCAAGAGCATGTGATACTTAATTTTCTGCGGAATATCGTGAACTCTTTATTATATTGGGAATAAATTTGAATGTCGTGCTACAAGACTCATTGGCTGCTGATTTTCAGAATGTGTTACCCTACAACTGACGCTGTTATATTACACAGTGTAAAAATATAGGTTAACTATCAAATGTACTTGGATAATTATTTTGTTTATATCAGACGTGACTGTTTTCTGCTGAAAAGAATTTAGTAGAACTATTACTCCGTGTCCAAACATTTTTATCTCTTTCAGAACAGTGAATTTGGACTTTATGATAAAAATATATAATTATTAACTTCACAGCAGATGTGTTTAATTGAATAAGCTAAATTAAAAATTTTTAAGTTTTATAAAGATTTGATCATGATGAAAAAACGGAGATTAAACTGTAATGGTAAGAACGGGTACCAGGATTTGCGGTTGACAATACCGGAATATCCGGAATGCGAGATGCTAGATTCATCTTCATGTACTGAGGTATTTATATTTAACAATCATTTAACTATCTTCATGTACATAAATGAACTCCAACATGTAGACAGAATGGTATCAGTAATGATAACTAAATTATCATCAGCAACATGAGATTACACTTGTATGTGTAGTGATAAATAAAAAATTCTGTGAACCTACCCCAAAGTTAACTGACTGATTTTCTTTTGATAAAAACAAAAACAACTTAGATACAGATCTAACTATTCAGCTCAGGTAATGTAAGAAAAAATAAAAACATTTTTTGTAAAATATAATTTTTGAAGATTTACAATTTGCACAAAAACTATTAAGTTCTTGCATATTTTAGCATATTATTAATTGTATATTAAGACATTATACATGTTTTTAATGTTATCAAGTTAAGCTGAATTAGTAAAATATATAATTTACAAGATTGACAATTATAATCAATATTTAATAGTGCAAAATGTTTAGGGTGAAATTATTATTAAACATATCTAAATCATAGAAAGAGTGCCCCACTTTTTTTTATAGAATTTAACAGTAACGATATTAATGGAAATTTCAGTTTTCCATGGATTATTATTTATTTTCCTACTGGTAAAATATAAAATTGAACACATTTATGTTAAAATGTAAAGCTAATTTGCTTCTACAAGTGCATTCATCTTTAAACGCTCTGATGGACATAATGTCACACAGTTAAACAGTGGCAGTGTAAATCTGATGGACATAATGTCACACAGTTAAACAGTGGCAGTGTAAATCTGATGGACATAATGTCACACAGTTAAACAGTGGCAGTGTAAATCTGATGGACATAATGTCACACAGTTAAACAGTGGCAGTGTAAATCTGATGGACATAATGTCACACAGTTAAACAGTGGCAGTGTAAATCTGATGGACATAATGTCACACAGTTAAACAGTGGCAGTGTAAATCTGATGGACATAATGTCACACAGTTAAACAGTGGCAGTGTAAATCTGATGGACATAATGTCACACAGTTAAACAGTGGCAGTGTAAATCTGATGGACATAATGTCACACAGTTAAACAGTGGCAGTGTAAATCTGATGGACATAATGTCACACAGTTAAACAGTGGCAGTGTAAATCTGATGGACATAATGTCACACAGTTAAACAGTGCAGTGTAAATCTGATGGACATAATGTCACACAGTTAAACAGTGGCAGTGTAAATCTGATGGACATAATGTCACACAGTTAAACAGCAGCAGTGTAAATCTGATGGACATAATGTCACACAGTTAAACAGTGGCAGTGTAAATCTGATGGACATAATGTCACACAGTTAAACAGCAGCAGTGTAGTTATTATTAACTCATTAGTGTACTTTATTTTGAAATAGTTTTAAAATGACCTTAACTGAATAATTGACAAAATAGGTCATGCAGCTTTATGTGCAAAATTTAAACAAATTTACTATATGGCATCTGAGTTATGAACATTTTTCAGGTTGCTTCAGAAATAAGTAAATTCTAAATAATTCATAATATTATCCTTATGAAAAATGTTTTCCTATTGATCAATCCATTTGTGAAATCAATAAGTACTAAGCAATAAATGTGAAGTGTTTTGGTAAAAGACAAAATGGCTTGCTCTTGACTGGGTTTGAACCCACACAGCCAGCAAGTCTTAGATTTCTTGGCGGATGTTTAATCCACTCAATTTAGTCTGCTGCCATTTAAAATATTTGGCTTCACTTGATAAAATCATTGCGCATTTATATCAAAATATATGTTCAAGTGCCTTAAACATTTCAACTGCATAACAAGAAAAGCATTGATGCAAAGCATCAAAGGGCGACGCCAAAAGAATTTGATCCAGATTTGCACCTAAATACTTAACAAAAGATGTGTACTTTATAGCAGTACCATTACATGTGACCTGGAGGCTAGGGCCAGGTTAAGTTGAAACTTAAACCAAAAATGAATAGACTCTGTCTTGCCAAGATGCAAAGGCAATTTATAGTCAATTAAGCAATCTTATAAGACTCATGTTATAAGAAAGAATTTCTTCAGATTTAATTTATGAGACACAAGGATTCCTGAGTCATCAGCATATAATCACTGGCACGAGTATCGGACCTGGGAAGAAAAAATATGACCAGATGACCAGATTGATAAAAAAAACTGTGTTTATAAAAACCAAAACAAAAAATGTAAATAATGATCCCCTTTAAAAATATACTATCAACTTGAAGTACATTTTTAAAGGGGGTTATTATTTACATTTTATTTTGGTTGTTGACACTTTTAAGATGAACACAGGTTTTTTTATCAATCTGGCCATATTTTTTCATCCAAGGTCTGATACTCGTGCCTGTGCATTATAATAAAAGCTTATTGCTTAGGGTTGAAGACATGTAATTGACATATATTAGACATAAAAGAGGACCTAAAATGAACATCAGGGGGACAGCATAGGTACTCAGAGCAGTAGTAGAATAAGTACCAGCCACATCAACCAGCTACTATCAGAGATAAGACTTAAACCATGTAAGAATGTCATTATATATGGCAGATGCTTGAAGTTTCATGAAGAAGAAGAAAAAAAACTTCTTCATGTGCAGGATAGTGTGTTCAACTGTATCAAATGCCCTTTGTAGATCTAAAAGTATCATGCAATACTGCCTTTGTCCATTTCAAATAATGCAATCTGTTAAATGAATCAAACATGTGTCAATTGAAAAACCACTTCTAAACCCTGACTGAAACTGCCTGACCATGACTCAAACCCATGACTTTCAGAAGACCAACTGAGCTATCCGTCCTGCTACACATTTTCTCTTTAATAATGAAACAGTTCTAAACCACAACATATTTCCCCACTATATCGATTTGTGTTCGTGAATTTCTTATGTTACAGAGCATAGGAAATTGAACTCATGCTTATATGCAGTCATAGGATGAGAAAAACTTTGAGCTTGACCAGAACTCATTAACCTGTGACCAACATAAGAAATTTTATGAAGGCTGATTTGTATTTTTTGCATCAAGGGCACCGGGCAAAAACATGAAAATGCAACAAACAAACCACTTTGTGGTAGATTGTATTTTCATGTTTTCATCTAGCGCCCAGTTACTTTTTGTACTATGTTGGTTTTCATGTGGCACAAATCACCCACTATAAATTTAGTGCACAAATTTATTCAAGGGCAAGTAACAATCTACTCTATGTACAGTCTGTTGTCGCGTTGACTCAGGAGACCTGGAGGTTGAGACCGGTGTCTCTTCATTACAAATAGATAAGACAGAAGCTGTCCTTTTCAAACTATGCACATGTTAGAAAAAAAATAGAATAACTATTCAGAATATGATTTTTTGAGACTTTATTAATTATATTGCTTGATCCAAGTTTAAGGACATTTTCAATCAATACATGTTTTATCATTTATAACTTTAAATGAAAGTCTCATCCCTTTAATAATAATGACATAATTGTATCTCTTTAAATGCAGAAAAATTATAAGTCTCAACATATCAATATAGTACTGTCTAAGATATACATGTACATGCACATAACATTAATAATTCCCAGTTTATATTAAATAAATATGAAATCCTAACATTAACATTAACATGCTTTTGATGACCTTACAACTGGTGAATTATATACAACAAAAATAGTATTATAAGTAATACCTAAGATAGACAGAAAAGAACAAATAATTTAGTAAACATAAGTTACTTCCCCTTAAAATAAAGAAAACCTGAAACCCAAAAGAACACGATAAACAGCAAAATTATGAAATGTTGCAGGTTCAATTTTATCAAGCCATGCAAATTAATGGTAAAGTATTCATAAAAAAATAGATGGCCATGTGTCAGCAGTAATTGCAGAAAATCGGATAGCTTTCAACATCCGGATACTGGTACACTTTGTAAAAACAACCATTCTGCGCAACAGATAAATGTAATAAGGATAAAATCAATAGGATAATCGTTTACAACAGTTCCATTACCTATCCTTATACTCAATTGCAGGTGAACTTTCTTCTTGTAGGAAAATTTTGAAAATGTATAAATGATACGGCCTCAATCTAGACCACAACGATATTCGAAATCCGGGTTTTAGTATTGTCATTAAAACTAAGGGACAAGCTGTTAAACTTAACCCGCAATTTCGTGAAAATAATATCACAATGCACATGCTTTTTACATAAAGTTATTAAATACAAATATAACAACACATTTGTTTACTTGATTTTTACGAATCAAAATAAAACTAATTTACACAACATGAAATTAACTGCTAATAATAACAGCTCCTTCCATAGGCAAAAATAAAAAGCGTTCCATAATAGACGACGCCGCTCACCGGCGTCGCCAATCATTAAGCTCTGCAGCAGGAGAGTCTCCAGTTACCTCCCTTTCATGTAAGATTCTTGGATAGGGGGCCCTTTCACTTTCATATATCAATCATTTTATGACGTTAGCAAGTTGGTTAAAAACCTCCAGATATAAACATTTATAGATATAATATTTATGATATAAAAGACTGTTTGGCACATGTAACATTTAATAGCCTGGAGGTCCTTCACCTTGGATTCTCTGAATAAACAATTGTCAACCTTTACTGTTGTATAAAATAATGATGATAATAATTTAAGATTGAAAGTCTCTCTTTAGGTTTTTGATGATGGCTTTTTAAAGCCAGAATAATAGATAAGGAAAATCAGGTGAAAATAAAGCTTATAATGAAAACAGTTACTTCAAATATATCTGAAATACAGCTATGATTTATGTAATGCTGCCCTCACACATAAACCACGACCTTACTGCGACCTGAAAACTAGTAAAATAGCATTTTTCTTTCGAAAATCGTTGGTTTTCTTTCAAATTTCCAAATTTCTCTCGCAGAAAATTTCTCTCGCAGACGGTCATGGGCTCTGCAGTCTTGTGTTCAGTACGTTTTCTCTATGTCCTCAATACGACCCTTCTACGTCCATGGCGTTTCCACTGCGACTGTATTGCGTCCCCAAGGCGACCCAGC